TCATTGTCCTTAGTCCCGCCCACATATTCCTAGTGTTACAGCCTTTGAAGTCAGATTCCACCTTCTCTTTGTACTGTCTCTTTGCATTTTTTATTGCTCTCCGGAGATCATACCTAGACTTCCTGTACTCCTCCAAATCTCCCGCTGTGTGCGCGAGAGTGCGCGCTTTCAGTTTGCCGCGCACCTCACCGTTTACCCAGGGCTTTTGATTTGGGAATGTCCGTACAGAAACCTTCGGTACCACGTCATCGATGCATTTCCCAATGTAGCAGATGACAGTGTCCGTGTGTGTGTTGATGTTATTGTCCTCAAACACACTCCAATCCGTAGATGCAAAGCAATCCTGCAGTGCTGAATCTGACTCCTCGCTCCATCGTTGTACTGTCCTTGTTATCGGTCTGTCCCTTTTAAGTTTCTGCTTGTAAGCAGGCAACAACAGTAGTGAGATATGGTCTGATTTGCCGAAGGGAGGGCGAGGGAGAGCCCTATATCCATTCCGGAAAGGGGAATAAACATGGTCCAGTATGTTTCCCCCGCGCGTCGGGAAGTTGATGTGTTGGTAATATTTTGGCAAAACCTTCTTCATGTTGGCGGTGTTGAAATCTCCGGCCACAACGAACGCCGCATCTGGCCGTGAAGTCTCGGTTTTATCAATAAACCCAAACAGCTGATCGAGTGCCGTGTTGTTGTCGGCGAGTGGCTGCGGCGGGATATACACTGCTGTTATCACAACAGATGTGAATTCCCTCGGCAGATGGAAGGCCCGACATGAGATCATGAGGTGCTCTAGCTGTGCGGAACAGTCCGATGAAATAATCTTCACATCTGAGCACCAGTTGTTGTTAGTCATTACACACACACCACCTCCCTTACTTTTCCCCGAGTTTGCAGTCCGGTCCTGACGAAAAATAGAGAATCCGTCAGGGACAATAGCGGAGTCCGGGATAGCGGGGTTGAGCCAAGTCTCAGTGAGAATTAACACGTTACAGTTCTTAATGTCCCGTTGAAAAGCAATCCGGCTTCTGAGTTCATCTAGCTTATTTTCAATGGATTGAACATTAGCCAGAAGAATACTCGGAAGAGGGGGCCGATTCTCACGTTTTCTCAGTTTGACCAGCAACCCGGCCCGGCATCCCCGCTTTGTCTTCTTCTTGCGTCTCTCAGGTAGAACAGCAACAGGTAGCCATGGTGAATCTCCATTGTCTGTCGGAGGGTTAATATTGTCCACGAAGTTTCGCAATTGGAAAAGTTCCTCTCTGCTATATTGTATGGCAGAGTAGGTGCGGTCGGCTAGCATGTTGCGAACCATGTTAAAAGTAAAACGGCAAAAGTAAAAGAAATATGTACAAAATACGAAAATGGGCAAAGTTGGAGAGGGGCACAAAGACGATGCGGCCATCTTCATCGGCGCATCTTACACGTTCACATGTAAGAGGTTTATCTCTCATTCAGAACAATGAAAATGCTCTCCTCTCACTGATTACTGCACATCACCATGGAAACCTCTGATCTCTGGACACGTCGTTAGCTCAAATATAAACACCTGTGTCATGGAACACGATGATGTCATAACTCCAACTGACATGCTCAGAGCAGCAGACTTCAGATAATGGTTAACGGTCCAGCCCTCAACAGCTCTACGTCAATTATGGGGTGTCATCATATGCCGTTTCCATGGAAACGCATCCCTCGCCATAAAAGACGATGTCGCTATAACTCCTATGAAAATGTTCAAAAAGTGCTCAAACTTCACATGTGTGCTAACAGTCCAGCCGTGAAGACATCTAAGGGACAGTTTTGAGATTTCTTCAAATGCCGTTGCCATGGCAACACAATGCTCACCATGAAACACAGTTTTCTCATAACTTCAGTGAAAATGCTCCAAACGGCCCAAAACTTCACAGGTTTGGTAACGATGCTGCCATCAATGCATCTAAGCGTATTATGGGATGTCATCAAATGCCGTTGGCATGGCGACAGATCACCATCAAGTTAGTTCAAAAGTTTGCAGTTCAAATATTCTGCTGCTTTTCCAGGCCTTTTTACTTTCTTTTCTTCTCTCATCAACACATTCAAGCCCCCAGTGTTCATGTATCATTTCAATCTAAATTCTTCACTTTCTTCTTACACATTACATTTCAGCATAGCAGTTTAGCGTCAGCTTTTCAGCATAAAGCATTCCCACTAGCAATTTCTTCAGGAATTGCATTCTCTAGTTATTATTGTTATTATTATAATAATCTTCATTTTTCTCCATAACAATAATGATACGGGGTAGATGGGGAGTAAGACAATAGAAAGGTGTCTCTAGGATCACATTTTATCGTAATGACACTGACACAGACCAACAACGTTTATAAAAACACAAACATCACTGTGGTGGATGGTGAAAAAATATATAAAATTCACATATCAACTGTAATTTATTGTTGTAAAATGAGAAAAGTGAAAGATAATATTTCCCTATTTGTTTCTAGACGGCAGGAAATCCATTGACAACAATAATCAAGTGTTTGTAAGACAACATGTCAATTTTTCTTTTGCCGTTAGGTTGTGACCGATGGTTCACATATTTGCATTTTAAATAAAAAGTGTTCAGAGTCCATTCCCTCACTGTGAGGCAGAGCTTATAGGCTGTTTACAGCTTTAAAAGAATGATGCTAGGGTTCGACTCTGAGGCTGTTTAGTACAGTACAAAACAATTATAACTTAGCAACTTTCCCACAATTATTTTCACTCAGGCTACAGTTAACCTGGTCCACGAGTTGAAATGTTCCCACAGCATCTGTCATCAGCAGTAGCTATACAGTTAACACCCTTGTTTGTATTTTCACCATGTGCTGTGTGCAGCACATTGTAGACAACTTATTTTAACCTTTTTATGAAAAGGTCAAATATATAATCCAGGATATGTCAATATGTAATTTGTGATATTTGAAATGGCACCAAAGATGAGGTGATGACAATCAAGTGTTTGTATATATTCTAGATAAGGTATATAAAGAGTGCTTCTCTTCCAAGACCATTACACAACTCATCACACTGCTACAGCTGTACAACTTCATCTGATCATCACAGCAAGGTAAAGGTTCAGTTTCTTAGTTTATTTTAACAATAATAACTGTCAAACAAGACTATAGTCCTTGTCAGTGGCGGCCGGTGGTCTTTTTTTTTGGTGGGGCTCTTGACGTACCGTAAGTGACCTACCCGGGGGGTCCAGGGGGTTTCCCCCCGGAAACTTTTTTCGAGAAATGACCCCTTAAATGATGACTTCTGGTGATGTTAGAGGGGGGGGGAAAGGAGAAATCGAGGCTTAAAAATATGAGAAGACTGATCAATACCTCCATAATCTTCAGTGTGGAAAATATTATTTATCAACCTGAACATCTACTACTTTACCAGGAATTTGTGTTCTCAGAACTGGTCTGTTTTTTTCTTTCTTAAAACTGTTCATGTTTTATGAACCAACACCTTCACCAAGTAGCTTTACAGTGAACTGCATGTGAGATATAAAATTAATAGCATCTTTTCAGTAGCATTAATTATAAATATTTAAGTGGTTCAATACAAGTCACTACAGCATTTCAAACTGAACTGTGAATAAATGCAATTTAAAAAAAATAACCACAGCACAAAATGTCATAAATTGTGTTTTTTCTTTGTTTCTCTGAGGATTATTTACAAACAGGCTTATTTACATATAGCAATAACTCAGAAATGAAAAAGCTACATCGTCTAACACGAACAACCAGTTAGCATAATGATAATATATGTGTTATGTACAATGTAACTGGCAAGGCTAGAGCAAGAAAGAACATAACGTTTGCAAAAGGTTTAAATAACTTCAAGTATCTGTCTTCAGATTACGTGGAGGTTTTAGTCCGATGGGAAGCAGATTTTAAGCGACACCGAAGATAAACCAAAAATGTGGTGGAGCTGCAAACCGTGTAGTGTTGCTGGGACAGAACAGGAGCTATAACCGTTGGAAAATACATCACAGACAATGCAACAAACGTGGAGACAGAACAATCACTTCTGTGATAAATGCCCACTTATTAATAAACTTCTAACAACCATGGGAAACCTCCTCTCTACATATAAAGTGATATCCAAGCATGGGAAACAAAAGACAGCATTTACCTGTTTGCATCCAGCTAGCCAAGCCTTTCTTGTGTACCAGCTACTTGTGAAGCCTCGTGTATAAATGTTGTCTTTTTCACGAGATTGCTGCGATATATTCAAATCGGGTTGGTCCGGTGCAAGGTCTTTAAGCAACAATTTATCTGCCAAACTTCTCCTTTCGAAAGGATTGGAGATTAGCTCTTGAACAGAATTAGGCGGGGACCGAGGTCCGGAGACTCCACCTGCACACGAAGCCATCCTCATCAACTACTGCGTCAACCGGATACGAGTCACTGTCCAAACTACTCACAGACTGCACTGGGCGCTGACATTGGCGCCCGGTGACCGTCATCTTTGACGACGCTGATTGGCTGAAATTATATTTTCGCGGCATAGTTTACACGTTACAGATAGCAACAGTCAGCTGCTGGTGGCTGCTGCTGCACTGGTTGAAGGCTCCTCTCTTAGCGCCCAGACGAGAGAAGGTGCATGGGCAAGGCCAGGCAGGAAACATGTGACTTATCAGTAACTTTAGACATCGTAACACAATTTTAAACGAGATTTTATTGTAGATTATACATTTTACTGATACCAATTATATAATATTTACCTTGTTCATTAAAAATAAAAATAAAAACATATATATCTTTTTAAACATATTTTTTTTTTTTTATTTTAATTTTAATTATTATTTATTTTTTATTTTTTCAATATAGGAAGAGGTGGGGCGGCACCCCTAGCGCCCCTATGGACCGGCCGCCACTGGTCCTTGTGTTCATATATATATATTTGTAATATGTCAAGGACGAAAAAATTATGAAGTGTTGTCAACTAACTCTATTACATTTAACTTGTTAACATCACTGTTCTTTACATAGATGGCGTCAGTTTTCCACTGCATTGTGCTCCTTTGTTTGACCGGTGGACTGTGGATGGAGGCAGACGTAAGTGATATAAGTTATGCTTAGCTATGGATAATACAGTGGTAATGACTTAAAAATAATATCATTGTTCCATCACCTGCAACATTAGTATTTTGAAATATTATCATTATGGTTGCACAGTAGTAGTCTCTTAATTGACAATGAGACAATGTAAAGTGATGTAATAATCAATGGGGACGGGGACTCAAGTCTCATGATAAGAACGTGTTCAGCCCCCATAGCTTACATTCACAAAGTGCGTTTGAACACAGATACTGCAGGGAGTTTAAGTAAAGAATGAATTGGTATAATGACATTTTGGGCAATGCTTCTAGTGTTGTTGTAGTGATTTCAATCTGAGGCTCAACCATGAATCAGGATCTGTTCATTCCTAATAATGCGTTCTTTACATTCACAGGCAAGTTGTCCCATAAGAAAAGGTTGGTACATCCTACTGGACAGCATTTGTAGGCTTTCATTGCTTTGGTTGCATTCTAAGTTAATATTTACGAGCTCAAGCATAGAGAACTGCACTCCTCAGTTTAAGACCAACAGTAAAAGTGCATTTGAAAACATAATTCATATATGTCCATATACTGTATAATGTAGCCAGTGGCGTTTTTATATGTACAAAAGTGGTGGGGCACAAAAAACTTAGATGTCTATATATAAGCTTCTGCAGTGACGTGCAGTGAGGTTCATGGCTGCTGAGGCACTGGCACTGACTCTTCAGGTTTACAAATATTATATTTTGACCTAAACCAAAATATAATATTATTTTCAAAAGCTTTTTTTGTCTGATGCTTCGATTAATTTTAAACAGACAGTTCAACAAAAGGATACCCAAAAAATGTAATTTTATCATTTAAATATTGAATTGTTCTCTCTTAGTAAGATCCCATTTTCAATAAAATGGCGGTCTTACCTTGACTTGAAGATGAAGTCCATTTGCCTATCCTTCTGGACAAACATTTCTATTACTTTTTTGTAAAAGTCCTCCTTATGTTCTTGTAGTTTCAAAAGTCTATCATAAATCTAATCCATAGATTTATGATAAAAAAATTATAAAAGTAGGGTAGACATGTGGATGTTATCCGGCTAATCAAAACGTGCATTTATCTAACAGGTACGTTTCCCACAGATCTTATTTCGAGCTATTTTCTAAAATCCTCTGGAGAAATCTCATTGCTTTTTTGTGCTTACTTCCTGGTTTTAGGACGCGCCACTGCAGCTCTCTCGTCTCCTCTTCACACACCACACTTTTCGCGGCACACGTACTTACAGCCAATCAGCTCTGAATGATTTGAGATGACGTATGGTGGGGATGGTAGCTCCGTGCCCATCTGGTCATTATTTTTTTGCCACACACATTTCATTACAAAATACTCTGAGCATGCGCAGTGTAGTTTTTACAGTCACGTTCACTTCACAGCGAGAGGAAGGGGCATAATCAGGTTTTGTCCCACATGGCTCTAAACAGCTCAATAGGCACACACTGTGACTGTAGACACACTAATTAGAAGAACACAGACTAAAACAGCAATGTACAGACGAATCAGATGATTAAACATGATCTTAAAATATATTTTATATATTTTTTTATTTATTTTTTTGCATTTTTGTAATCATTATTTGTAATACTTTCTGCTGACACTAGGTGGGGCTGCCCCTAATGACCAGTCGCCACTGAATGTAGCAAAGAAAGTATATCTAATCTAAGGCCCATTAGTATTTTGTTAAGTCTGTTTTTTTTTACAATTGTGTTGTAGGTTGCCCCCAAGGTTGGTCTCTGCTTGGCTCTCGCTGTTTCATCTTCAACTATGAGGAAAAGGAATGGGCTATTGCTGAGGTACTTTATACAATTACAACAATAACACAGTAACTGGAACACTAAATCTTGGCTTATTCTCTGAAACAGATCAAAACAAACATTGTTTGCCTGTCCATACTTTCACTGACTTTGTTTCCCCTCCGTAGAAATCTTGCACTGCCCTGGGTGGTAATCTGGCTTCCATCGAAACGCACGTTGAATACCTATTCATCAGACAGTTGGTGAAAACGGCAACAGGCAAAAATAAACTTTCTTGGGTTGGAAGCAGTGATGCTGTCAAGGTGAGATTCATGTCTGCTAGTCAATTTGTTTAAATAAAATAAAGCTGAAACGGCATTGTGAGAATTCGCACAATTGTATGCTCTGGTTCAGCCTTAGAGTAAGTAAAACGTTTTTTGTGAAAATGCGTACACTGACTGATAATCCTTTTTCTTTCAGGACGGTGTGTGGCTGTGGAGCGATGGCTCTAATTTTAAATTTGGCGGCTGGGCAAAGGGGGAGCCAAATGGTCAAGGAAAGGAAAATTGTATGGAGATTAACTTTAGAGGTAAAAAAACTATTATTTGTTCTTTATCCTCTTTAGTCATACTAACAATGTTTACTAGATACATTAATTAAGTGTTTGTGCTGTTTTTGATTGTTTTCAACATACAGAATCTGACTACGTCAACGACTCGGTGTGTTCTGGGAAGAAATCGTTTGTTTGTTCTGCCAACTCATCTCCCCTGGGATAAAGATGTTAAGTCTTCATTCAGGATGTCACTTCCATCAGGATGTCGGGCCTCGATGACATCAAGGTTTCAACGATTGATTGACTCTTCTGATTGGCTTTAACTTTTAATCAATAAACGTATGTATCCTGCTAAGTGATAATTCTGTATGACACCAGTCTGTCGTAATAGTTATTTGTCATTCTGTACTACAACACTAAAGCTTACAGAGGTCCTGCAATAAAAACCTAATGCAACAATGTCCTCTGCTTGTTTCATTAACTGGTGATTGTACTGATGTCATTTTCTCATTTCCTGAGAATCTTCAAAAGAAATGTGAATTAATGTTCAATATCACCCCCTACCTTTTTGGGAATATTAGGATTAAAAGAGTACAAATACACTGTTATTAAACCCCTGCATTAAAAAGAGTGTGTACCCAAAAGAGAGCCCATCAAACACGTTATTTATATTATTTTGAAATCAATTTGAGAAACATTACAGATCTCCTTATTTCACAGCGAAGTTGAACACTCTATTGTAAATGGTCAATTTCAATATTTTATGTCTGTTTATATTTGTTAACATGTAGTCCCTGAAATGGTGGGGAAACCGGTGGAATATCAATAACTCATTATACTCATTTCGCTTCAATTCTGGTCTACTTACAGAACTATGCAACCCCTTTAACAGTGTGTGAACCCTTGGGTGTCCGAACATGTAACAATTACTCCCTCCTTTATCAAGGATTTTAAAAACAGAAGTCATTTCATCAATGTTTTGTAGTTCAATTTAGGAATTTTCACTTATGGCAGATATTTTATTTTTATTTAACCTTTATTTAACCAGATAAAAAACATTGAGATAAAATCTCATTTTCAATGCTGACCTGGCCAAGAAGGCAGCAACGTTACACATAACACATAACACAAACATATAAAATACAGAGAACATAAAGAAAACAAAAGACGAAAAAGCAGTCACTACATTGTGCACATTAGGACAATAAAAAAAGTACACTACTTGTTACTGCAAGAGCAGCTGGTGGTGAGGACTTCAGACAACTTCAATTTAAAACATGAAATAGAGACAAGTGCCCTCAGTTTAAGGCGTGATTGAAGGTCATTCCAAGACCAAGGACCATAATAAGAAAGACTCCTTTTTCCAGCCTCAGTCCGTACAGTAGGAACCTGGAACCATATCCAGGCACTGGATCTGAGTTTGTAAGAGTCACAAACTGGAGCAAATCTGACACATATGTAGAGTGGAAGCTTACCTAAAATGGCTTTATACATTAATAAAAACCAGTGCTGCATCCTACGCATAGTAAGTGAGGACCATCCAGTTAGGCTATACAATGTGCAATGATGAGTCCTATAGGGTGCATTTGATATATAACGCAGTGCAGCATGGTAAAGTGGGTCAAGTTTGGCCAAAACAGTAGGACAGGCAAATCTATAAATGGTATCACCGTAGTCCAGCTGGGACAGGAATAAGCCAGAGACCAACCTTTTACGGGATGAAATTGAAAAACAACATTTAAATCTGAAAAGGAAGCCAAGAGTGAATTTCAATTTCTTTGTTAAAACTTCAATATGGTGTTTAAAGTTCAGATTACTGTCCAACCAAAAGCCCAGATATTTGTAGGTATCAACAAATTCAACAGAAACGCCATCAAGGGTGTCAATGGAGAGGCAAGAGGAGGACGCTGACTTGGGAGCAAAAAGCATTGCTTTGGTTTTCTTACTGTTCAATAGCAGTTTAGAATCAAGAAGCGCATGCTGCAGCGTGATAAAATCTGATTTTAAATTGGAAACGGCCATATCCAGAGAAGGAGCACACGAGTATACAATAGTGTCATCAGCATACATATGATAGGTAGAAAATTGCATCTGATTACAAATAGTGTTTACATATAATGAAAAGAGCAAGGGCCCCAAGATAGAGCCCTGTGGAACTCCCTTCTCCAAGGTGACAGGGTCAGAGACAGTACTACCCAACCTGACGCATTGAGTGCGGTCGGTTAGATAACTCTGAAACCAGCAAATGGCATTGTGACCGAAACGAGACACCAACATAACATTAGACATAATGTGGTGATCTACAGTGTCAAATGCTTTGGCTAGGTCAATAAACAATGCAACACAAACTGATTTCTTATCCAAAGCAGCCTTAATATCGTCTAAGACTTTCAGACTGGCAGTCACAGTACTGTGCTTTGATCTGAATCCAGATTGCATAGGGTTAAGGATGTTGTGTGAATTTAAAAAAAGTTTTAGCTGAGTAGAAACAAGGGACTCAAGAATCTTTGATAACACAGAAAGATTTGAGATAGGACGATAGTTATTCAACTCCGTGGGATCACCAGCTTTCAAGAGGGGCGATACCAGAGCTTGCTTCCACACAGCTGGCAGTGTGTGAGTGGACAGGGAGAGATTAAAAATATCAGTTACTGGTTGTGCTATCATCTGAGCTGCAATTTTTAAAAAGAACGGGTCAAGGCCGTCAGGCCCGGCAGACTTTTTAGGATCAATCGAGTGCAAACCCTGTAAACCCCTGTAAGACTTCAGAGACCGAGAAATAAGCTAAATCAAAAGATTTAATATGTTTCTACTTTAAATAACATCTCTACATTTCAGGTCATCACTGATTAAATGGATGACCATTAGGAGGTGGTGGCGCTTGTCTTTTAAAACTCATAATCTGGTGCCGTGCGCTCCCTGTGAAGCTGCAAGTAAGATTTAAAACATCTGCAGGGTGGGTTGAGTGACCCCTTGTCCCTAAACGATATTGGTTGTCAAAAATATGCACCATTTCAATGAGTGATCCAAGGCCCCGCATGTATTACTCCCAATTATATTGCTTTTTCCAAAATTAAATTTGCAATCGCTCTTTGCCCAGTGTCTTTTTAAAACTCTACATCTTGGACGACGAACAAATGTTATTTCCACCTTAACAGTTCTCCTATGGTGAAATCAATACTTTAGATTGGAATACTATATTTGGCTTGGTACTAACTCTCCCTTCAACATTTTCCATACAAATAAAGATTTGTCTGCTCTTATAGAGTGGTTACTAAAACTATCCCTTTATCCCACAGTACCCTCAGTGTGTTTCAGGATTATTTCCTCATTTTACTTTAATAGTTTCCTCTTTATTACTATTTTAATTTACCAATTTATTAATTCATGGCTAATAAATCTTTTTGTCTTTACGTATTTATCAAGTCAAATCAAGTTTGTTTGTGAATAAGTGTGTTTATGTGTAAACTCACTCATTCCCGTTTTCCTTTTCTCCTCCTCTCGTTGTCTCAAACCACGACCCCCTCACATTCTGCTAGACCAGGGGTACTCAAATACAAATCTTAAAGGTCCAAAAAAAATTGTTTCAATAAGACAAAGGTCCGTTTATTACGGTCATTCAAACTTTTAAACAATTGCAACAAGATTCTTAACACGAGGTTGCAAAAACAAAAATAATCTGTATGCAGCAGTTTTCATTGTTATTGTGTCTGTGCTTGATCCCTCAGAGTCGCAGTGTAAGAGCTGCACAGTTATGAATAAAGGCAGCTGCACCCTCTTTCATTTAGCATTCCCATTATTGCTTTATAAATGTCTTGCCCCCTTGTGTGTCCACTGAGGTTCGTCAGGCCCAACACATCTTCAACAAACTCCCCCTTTTGCCTCATCATAAAAACTCACAAAGACCAGCAACTGAGCATTGTCAGTGGTGTCAGTGGACTCATCCACAGCTAAGGAAATGCACTGTGCATTTTTTATTCCATCACAAAGCTGATTAATCAAATCACCAGCCAGTATTTATGTTCTTCTGGTTGCTGTGGAATCTGAGAGGGGGATTTGCTTGATTTGACCTGTTATTTCCTCTTTTTGTTTGCCTTCAAACATGGTCTCCATCACTTCAGTCATGCATTCTTTTATACTTCAGTTATTATCCAGTGGAATGCCCTTACCTACTGGCCTAGTTAAATCAAAGTGGTTACTTCTTTTTGGCTGGGCAGTGTAGTTTTACACACCGTCTTATTTGACTTTCTCAGGACTTAAAACTGTTTTTTGGGGGCAGACTCCCACAAAGAAAAAAAATATATTTACACACGTAAGGTCATCATCTTAACAGTTTTGTATGCTCATCCGTGAGCAGAGCATCAAGTTGACATGTCTATTACAGCTGAATGCGGCGATTACCATTTTGTTCAGCAACACGCCTCACAAACTTATTAAGATCAACAGCTTTAGTGCGTTTTGATTCAATGCTGAGTACAGCCAAACTTGACAGTCTCTTCTCTGTCATTGTAGACCGCAAATACCTCATTCCTTCAGTACTTGGGTCCGAATGCTTCTCGTTTTGCGCCGTACCGTTCAAATGAAATCAGGGCCGGGGGAGGAGTTACAAGACGTGCGTCTTGTGCTGCATTCACTTGCACTCGGACATTAGAGACTTTCTCTCATAAATGTCCGATGAGCCACAACTTTTCTTTCAAAACAAAGCTGCCAACTGGGGTGGCAAGGCTATTTTTAGGGTGGCAGTTGCCACCCCATGCCACCCCGGTAGGTGAAACTAGGCTACTAGCTACAGTACAGATACAACTAGATGAGCTGTTAAAGGTGGGGTAGGTAAGTTTGAGAAACCGGCTCGAGATACACTTTTTGTTATATTCCATGGAATGCTCTTAACATCCCGATAGCAATGAATATCTTAAGTGCTTTGACAAAAAATCCATAAAAAAATGTCATCTGTGGAAGCCGTAATACTGTAAAAAGCACGACCAATCATCTTAGCCGGCCTGGCTAAAATAACTGGATGGCCTACCTGCCTGTCAGCCTTCCATCTGTGCACAAACTTATCTCGTGCCCTCATTGGTCATGTGCGCGTTCGTGTGTGTTGGAGGAGGGGCTCTATAAGGAAGTGGCAGATTTTCTCCGGTTGTGTATTTTCAAATTCTAGCGATCTCGAGCCGGTTTCTCAAACTTACCTACCCCACCTTTAACTCTCGCTCTGACTTTTTT